ATTAATTTCATATAATTGATAATATGTGATAGCAGACCTTAAAACCTATAAAAAGTTATTATAAACCATGGTCTGATTACATACAGAGAACCAGGAAACTTAAATTTTGTAATTTTTAAGTCAACCATGTTTTATGTTAAATAAAAAGCAATAACTAAAAAAAAATGTTTAATTTAGGTTACAAACAATTACTTCATAGTAATTTTATTGGCGCTTTTAGGTGGAAGATTTAAAAGTTATCTTGAGTAATAAATGCAAAACTTTGAATGTCAATAACTCAGCCAGATGCTATTAGAATCTATCCAAATTAGATGGGTTTTGTTATTGTTTCATTTGGAACTAAATAACATAAGTCACATTCTATAACCTTTAAAAGATATTGTGATTTTAAAATCATAAATTTGTAAGTTTTTTAGTCATTTTCCATCATAGCTCTCTTCAGAAGGGGTTCTTCTCAGAATTAAATTTTATATGAGATTGCATAAAATTTTTGTTAGTTTGAAAAATACCTAAAAAAATTTTTTTCCTTTTTTTGCCCCATTAGGTACTTAAATCCTCTTTACAAACTCTAATGTTAAAGTTCATATGAAGGAAATATAAACAATTTGCCTGGAAGAACAAAATGCCGACTTGATTAAGTTTTGACCACTGTGTGGTGTCCAGTCCAATTAGGATGATGATTCCTTTGTGGCCTTGGTGATGGAATCAAGCTCGTTAGTAAGATCATTATGCTCATAGTGCAGGCAAACCACCACTGTGATTAATGTCGAACTAGTTATACCTTTTGGTGGAGTATAGCTAGCTGATTAATTTTATTTAAGGAGCAAAGTGTCCTATCTCTGGAACAGTGTTGCCAAAGAGGCGATAATTTTAATGTTTTAGTATACAGACCCTGAAGGTGGTAGCAACGGAAATAATTCCGTTACCTGGAATTTCCAAACCCATGATCCTGCTATTAAGTAAATAAGGTTCTTGTATTGAAATTAAGTCAATTTCCTCTCCTTTAATATACTGATGGAGAACTCCACACTCTGCAATGCAGTTATAGAAATTAATCTGCAGAAGCTTCAAGTTAAGACATTATTCTTTCAGGTGGGGTGGATCCATGGATGCAGAATCTGGCAGAGTTTCACTCTCACACCCAGCTCTCACTGAATCTTTGGGATCCTCTCCACCTCCAGTGCCTATTGCCCAATACTGCGAATGCTAAAGGGATCAAGTGGAAGTCGCCCTTCAGATGTCCGTGGCAGGATTTCACCGAAAGACAGTTTTCACAGTCTTCTTTCATTCACCTCTCCTCCTTACTCACCCACTGGCTTCTCTTCCTTCAAAGAATCCTTTTTACCAGGAACTAGAGCTTCAGATAGTAATCGTGGCTGTGATCGACCAGCAGGTAAAGCTTTTGGCTTGAACCTGCCTCCCATCAACGCAGCACAGGCCTGTTAGATCCTTAGATCTTTCATAGTTTGGAGCTTTCTTCTATGTCTTTTCCAAGACCGATTCTTACTATTCAGATACAACCTCGTCTTTGATGCAAACTCTGAAGGTGATATAGTACCTCCTACTACAGCCTGCTTTCATGCCATGTTCTTTAAGGCTATGAAGGCTGGTTTCAGGAATTCTAAAAATAGCAAAGAATCCCTGAATCATCTCCTTAATGTAAAGAACGGTTGCAGACACCACCAATTGTGGTGTTCTACAACCTCAATCTTGTCATCAGGACTTCCTCTGTAAGCACCCTCCCAGAAAGAAGGCACCTATTTTGGAACTCCTGTTAGTTCCTGAGCATCTCCATTATATAGGGCGATATCCTCCTCTAGGTTGATGCTCAGGACTATTTTCATAAGACAAATCCTTGACCCACGAGATCATTAAAACTCATCGACCCTCCTATATTTTTCACAGCTTACAATTTAAATACTCCATCCAATCCCGTCCCACTAGATCTCGTACTTCCGATCTCTATCCTACTCATTGAACTGCTGCGTTTGACAAATCCTTTGCAATTTAAGCCGCCTCCCTCTGGAATTCTATCCCTGCTGATATTCGACGCGCACAATCAGTTTCTTCTTTCAAACCTCTCCTATTTAAACTCCTAATTCTTACTCAATCCGACTGATTACAAAATATACCTAAGAGAATTATCTAGGTACCCCCAGAGACTACTTCAATTTATTTAGGTTATTTTAGTTTCCTATGTCTGTCTTATATATATAACGATTTTCTTGTCTTCTTCTCTCTCTTCTTCTATATTTTTATTTTTAATTAACTCTTATTGTAAATATATAAATATAATTTATTTATGACAACACAGACATGCAATCTGTACTTATAATTTGTTCTAAAGGGACAACAGTCCCAGAATAATAAAATATATTTTCATTTCATTACTAGCTAACCTCTCAGAACTGTGGCATAACTCCTGCCTTCAGCCTCCCTGGTTTCTTGGCACTCTGTGCTGAAGTGCTAGTTGAAACTCTAGATCTTTTTCTCTGCTTGGGTACCTGCACTTGGGCCTCCACAGCCTTGACTGATGAGTCTCGAGAGACCCCTACAGCTTTAGCTGGTTGCCTAGAGGGTAGCACCTTTGCAGCAATATTCCAAGTCATAGATTTTCCTTTGGGCAGATCAGCTTTTGAGTAATGGCTCTGGTTAGATCCTTGGACCCTTGGCAAAGCTCCGTTGTAGTATCAAGCTTCCCAAGCTTGGAAGCCATCACTTGGGACGGGTCTGGAGTGACCCACAGCAAGTCAGCCCGCTCAGCCACTCTGCCCTTCACTTAGCTTGGGTGTTTAATAAGACTTTCAAAACTATCACATGAGTAGAAGGGATGTGCCCTGCCTCTGTCGTCCATGAGTCCCATCAAACTCTTGGCTAAATCAAAGTATAACAGTTACTTTTTATATTTAATATAAACTTTAATTGTTAAAATTAAATTTAAATTTGTTTGCTATTTTTTTAATTAAAATATGAACAGCATCTTTAATTGTTAATGTGTTGTAAAATGTATTTGTTACATTTATGATAATTCATATACATATTTAATAAACTATTATAGGTAAATATTAATGTTGTTTTTTTTTTGTTTTTTCTGTTGGCATTGAAGACCTTGTAGATCTTTTGCCATCTTATCCAGTCTTCTTCATCTCTGCCTATCTTAAGCTATTTCTTTCCAGTTCTAATGCATCTTTATTGATTTGATCTATCCATCTCGTTTTTGTCCTTCCACATGGTCTCTTGCTTACTACTGAAGCATTCATCCTCATGCCTTGCTCATCTTAACTTCCTTGCCTTCATATCTTCAGATATTGATTGGCAGGTTTCTTTAATTCTTTCTAGTTTTTTATTAGTCTTTCTCTTCCATGCATTAGTACTCTGTTCATCCATCCCAGATCACTCCAGTCATGTGGAGAATTTTTCTTTAAAATCTTTCGATACTTCTTTCTATCTAGGGTGCAGGTTAATATTCAGGTGTAAATATTTATGCTGTTTAGTGGCTGACTCTTTGTTGGAAGCCCTTAAAACTGCAGGCATGTATACAGCAATGTAGATGACATTGCTATCCTAATTGGAGGAAAGTATCAGAGTTCTCTCTTATCTCCTCAAAACAGTAACAGACATTCTAAGGTATTGGTGCAGCACTAATGGGCAAATCAATAAACAGAAAGTCAGCATCTTCACTAAGAAAAAAATGGTGTTTATTAAAATGCCAGAGAGTCATGGTATCCAATTGACACAAAGCAAGGAAGTAAAATACCTTGGAGTCATACTGGACCATAAATTGTCATGGACTATTTATCTGCTAACAAGCAAAGTCCTCAAATGCCTATGGGCCTGCAAAAGAGCGATAGGAAAGAATTGGATGCTCAAACCTAAAATGGTATTCTGGCTGTATATAATGAATAATTATATTATTCTCAGCTTTGCTACGGTTGCATAAAGCAAAGACTGTAGTAAATACATCCTTATTAGGAAAAATTCAAAGATTAACCTGTCTAATGTTTATGGGAGCAATGAGCTCCACCCCAACTGCTGCTATGGAGATAATGTTGGACATGGCACCATTGAGTGACCTTGAACCCGCTTTGCAGTTTCTGTCAGGAGGAGAATGAAACAGCCTTTCACATAGTTTCTTGATGTGATTGGTTTGCAAGGCTTATACCAGTCTAAGCTATAGAGCTATTTGGTGAGGATTGAGTGGATTACCCCAACAGCTATGAGTATATTAATCCAATAAACCTATTAAGATACGCAGAAGCGACTAAACTAACGTTTTAGGAATAAAACGAGTGTTATACATGGTGCACAATAGATCCTCAAGGGTCATAGTGCTTTATACCAAAGTTATAAAAAAAAAAAAATATATATATATATATATATATATATATATATAGTGTGTGTAATTATTAATATTACATGCGTGTATTATAAACAACTTTTAAAAAATATGTATGATAAATAAATTTAATTTTAAAGTGATTAGTGATCAATTATTAAACTATATGAAAATAGTGCAGGAAGGGTCAGCTTGTGGTGATAGCTTGAAAATATTATTATGAGTCTTTAATTTTTTATTATCCATAATATACCTCACACAGTCATTTGTCTATCACCTTTATATTATTATACAGGGTGTCTCAGTTCTTAATGGCCAAATTCTGGGAGGTGAATCTTGACAAAGTTTTCAATAAAAAAGTTCGTTTGATGCATGGGCCAATGCCGAAAGGAAAGGAAAAGGAGTTGAGATCAATTTTATGTTTTTCTTGAGGTGGTCACGTTTTTTGTTAGATAAGAAGGAATTTCTCAAGATAATTAAATTCTAAGTGCAACATTGTAAAGTAGACAAAATTTTATTTGAGCAAACAGGTAGTAGTACAAGTACTACTGTAGCTGCTAAATATAAGTTGCTTGGTTTTTATTTTTTATTCCTCCACAGTTAATTGCAGATATTTAAAATAATTCTATAGCTGATGGCTTCTTCATTTATTTTATTTTTTCAGAAATTCAGAATGTAAGAAGAAGGTACCCTGTCGAGAAGTTACTGAAACTATTTTTTCTGCTGAAGTTCACTCTTTAAGGCATCAAAAATCCCTCCAGCCAAAAAGTTAGTAGCTTTCATTTTTTTATTTTATGTTATTACTTGTTTGTACAATACCACATATTGAGTTACTGGACTTTCACCATAGTAGAGATCCACCGATACCGATATTAATATCGGCCTTTTATCTGTATAAGCTTTTTTTTTTTCTTTTTTGCTCATATATCTATGAGTAAATCGTGTATCATATATAAACCAATATAACAGCCGTATGAACTTATTTTAATGAGATTGGTAGAGTTTGGCAAATTGTAATGTAATTTTTTTTTCTAGTCCTCCTTCCCCTAATTTGGGCAAATACTGATAATGATGCATTTTTCATCACAAGTAACAATTCTGAACAGAAAAGGGTCGTTTTTATTTCGGCAAAGAAGTGTAGCACAAACTTCATAGCACTGGTTTTATTAGCGGTTGTTAAATTTGTTTGGAACTCAACTTTCAAGCTTTTTACTTTCACCTACCTATTTTACCTTTCCAATCGCCTTGAGGTGGATTTGCTAAGGTTAAGTTTCCCTGCAAGTTATCAGACAGTTGTTCTGGGGTTTTCTTACACCAAAGCTTGCAGAACATCGTCATCGAGAGAGGAAGTTCTTCTATGTCTTCAAGGCTGAAGTCTCCCTCCCCAAATTTTTCGAACCACCATTGAACAGTGCACTCATTAATGCTGCTCTCGCTCCAGACTTCATTGATGTATAAAATCTGAAATAATCTATTGCTTATTGCTTATTTATGCCTAATTTTTTATTCGTAATTTTTTTTTTTAATTTCCAAAAAAATACAAATGATCTTGATCAATTTCATGATGAAATTTGGTTACCAGAAATGTGCAGTAATCGGTTGTCATCATTTATTTAGTTTCTGACTTTCTCAGATACCCTTCGGAATAGTTTGTAATCTATCAGAATCTGAAAACATAGACTTCAGTTATTGAATCATATATAATATAATTATTTTAATGAAAACGTTAAATTGGAAAAAGTGCACCCGACAACATAATAATTTGAAACCCTATCTATCTCAATACCTCAAACCACATCCACAAATTCCTTCAAACAATTTCTATTCCACCACCTGCTAAACATTCAAAGTTCCGCAAGCTTGTAAGAATTTTTATATCATATAATTGCAGTTGCTGACGAACAGTTAATTGATAGGAACCATTTTATTTTTCTCTGAATATCTTTTGTATATATTTGTATTTATTTTAGTGTTTTTGGTATATATTTGTATTATATCTACATGCCAGACTGATGTAACTCTGCTAATATCCTAAGTGGACATTAGTCCTAGAGTAAAATTATATTTTATTTACCCTAATATCAATTATATCCCAAAAGTTTCAAAAACTTGATGTGCAATTGCGCAATTTTAAATTCAACATTATTTTCATCAAAATCACCCCAGACAACATTATAGTCGACCCTAATATTAGCTTTTGTAACTGTTATTTAAATGGCAAACAAATAGTTTTGTAATGTTTCTTGTAAATTTGGAAATGTGACTCTTCTCTCCTAACCTTGATACTATAAAATAAATATTATAATTTACAAGATTATATAAAAATTTAAAATGCTGTAATTAGATTTGTTTTGAGAGTCACTTTAAGTATTACTAATTATTAGATAATTAATACTATTTTGTTTTAGAATGTTAATGTTTTGTTTATTTTTTGATAGTGGTCTTCGTAACAATTATGGATATACTTTATTATGATTCATTTTTTCATTGAACAGTCTTAAAATTGTTTATTTGGTCATTGAAATCGTGAATTTTTTATCTTAACTATTGAAATCTTTTTAAATTTGTATGTGGTCATTATGCTGTTATTATCTCCAGTATTATTATTACATAACTATGTAGTTAGTTAGTAACAAATGTTGTATCAGATGGAGGGGGAGCTGTGGTTTTTGATGATATTGAAGATAGTTGGGCAAATGAAGCTGTATCTGATGATTCTCCTAGTCCTTCCCGAAATTGTCATCCAGGCCCACCTGCACACTATTTTAAGGTATTTGTTGCAGTAAAGTCGCTGTGCTATTATCAAATTCTAATAATCTTAAAGTTATTGTGTTAAATAATATACAATTCGAACATTTTTCAATGTAAAGATCAAACATTTCAATTTATAAATAATTTATAATACAAACTTCATTTATGTGTTATGCTCAAAATGAGGACATTAGGGTCTATCAGTTAGTACCAAATCACTCAAAATGGATTAATTTTCAGTATAAAATATGTTCAAATATTGTTACACATGTTAAATTAAACTTTAAGCAATGAATTAAAATATAGCCAATTTGTTATAAATAATTTCAAAAATCTGATATTTCATTTTTTTTAAACTATTCTGATGTCTAACTTTTATTTTTGTCTTGTTAATTATTTATCAATGAGAATAGGTAGCCACAACAGTTTCTGATGGAGAATCGCTATCTCCTGAATATGATGTAAATGGAAAAGCTCAAAGAGTGATTGGTGGTCTTCCTATTGCTGATTATGAAGGTTCCCCTAGACGTTACGGCCCTAAGCAACCTCCAAGTGCTGTGACATTGTTGTCTTCACCATCATTTTATACTCCAAGACCCGGATTCCCTCAGGTGTGTTTAATTTTATCCTTTTATATTATATCTTTTTTTCTGTTACAATTTCAAACTCAAGGTATTGCCTGTAAAAAGAAAATTTAACAACAGTGTTTTTCAAATTCTTCTATTATATCCTAATATACATACGCATATGTGTGTGTGCGGGTGCATGTATGCATGTGTATATTAAGAGTTGGATATATCATGTAGACTAAAAGAAAAGAAAAATAAAGTGTATAGCTATTAGATTTCTCAGATTATATGGTCAATTTATTTATTTATTTATTGAAATGAGAAAATTATTTTAAAAATTCCTTATTTAATAATAAAATTTTTATTATTTTCTTTCTCTGATAATAACCAACCCTATATAACAAGATGGTTACATAAAATAAACAAAGATGCTGCATGCTGCAAACTGGAAACCAGTAGTCTTGTTAAGCAAAGGTGAAGAATGTGGTTCGGGTAGACAAAGATCTGCAAGGTCTGTGAAGCAAATAAAAAGAAAAAAAAAAGTAACAGTTTAATAGCAATGTTATACAAAATGCAATAAAGCATATTATATATATTTATATAAAATGTTTTTATTTTTTAATAAAATATTACCATTTTCAAATTCTAATTTAAACCTTCACTCTGAGGCATCCAAAAAGAAGATGGCCAAAGGACCTCCTAAATTATTCCGATCATTAAAGTGCTAGTACTAGTTCTTATAATGTTTTATATTTTCATTACAAATTTACTTGTATTTTTTTATATAGTTGTAAATTTCATTAAATAAAAAAAAATTAAACCTTTCCAATTCAATTGTAACCCAATCGGACTTGAAATAATTCATAAATATAGATTTTTTATTTACAAATAATTATTTTAATTTCAATAATAACTTTTGAAATAAATTTACCATATACTTTTCATTTATTAAATAATTGATATTGTGATAATTTGAATTAGTTAGGTTTAAGTTAAATAGTTACTGGAAAAAATTAAAAATAAAAGAATTCTGCAACTGACGGAGGTGAAAAGGAACATTCTCACAAATATTGAAGAAAAAAGATTATGCTAGTTTGGGCTTGCTTAAAGAATGTCTCCAGAAAGATTATCTTAGATGAGTATGGAATTGGCAGTAGAAAGAGGAAGGAAAAAAAAAGAAAATAAAAGGAGACCAAAAAGTAAAATGAAAAGATGAGATGCAAGAAAGCCTGTTGTGGGACATGGTATCAGGGATGAACAACTGCTACTTTGTGAACTTCAAGTAGAAACAATACATGAATTCATTAAAAATTTTGAATTAAAAAAAGAAAATGTTGTCTACTTTAAAATGATGGGCTTAGAATTAAATTAACTTGAACAATTTTTGAGCGATTCCTTCTTATTCAATAAAAACTTTTAAAAAAACATCAAATTGATCTTTACTCCTTTTTTTGTCAGGAATCGGCCCATGCATCAAATGAACTTTTTTGTTGGAAATTTTGTCTAGAATCATCCCCAGAGTTTGCCCATTAAGAACTGAGACATCCTGTATATAGAAACAATTTTGTTAATAATTCAAGTTTTGGCCAGCTGCTGAATTATTTTTATGTTTTTTTTTTGTAAAAGTTGTCGAAGTAGGTAATTAGAGTGATAAGAAAAAAATATACTGATATTTTTTTAATGTTTATATATTTTTGATATATCTACCTGGAATGTTTGATTTCCAGCTATAAGGGATCCTCACTCCCCTTCTCCTTGTAAATTAAAAAAAAACATCAAGTGCTTAATTTACTTTAAGCTAAGGCTAGTTTCAAAAAGTATTCTTCAGTATTGAATGGTTGTATAATAATAATAATAATGCTTTATTGATTCTGGGACGAGTCCCTTTAGACTAATATAGAAAGACAATAATGTGGGCTAGCCTTAGAGATACATAAACAAAAATATAGAGTAATCATATAGTCAAAATAAAAAAAAATAATAGAAAAAAATTATAATTTACTTACTAATTTAAATCAGTTAATAATAAAAAACAAAAAATTGGAAATGAACATGAAATAAAAATAATGAAGAACGATCTAATAACTTATATAGATATTTACAGTAGTAACTAGTTACAATTTTATGGAGACTGGACGGATAAGAAATGATTGAACAGGCGGGATTTAAAGGTAGGAAGGGTCTTGGATTGACGGATATAGGGAGGGATGGAGTTCCATAGGGATGAGGATCGGATAATGAACGATCTGTCAAAAGCAGCGGTTCGGTGGGCCCTTATGTATAAATCAGAAGACCGGGAACTAGTATTGTGGGAACGAACAGAGGATTTGAATTGAAGGAGCTCGGAGATGTATGAAGGACGGTGGGATTGGATGACTTGAAAGAGGAAGGATGCCAGGAAATACTTGCGACGGTAGGAAGGATAAAGCCACTTCAACTCTGCATAAAAACGAGAAGCAGAGGCGTCCCTTGGGATCCCAAAGATGAATCGTACAATGCAATTTATCAAACGTTTTAATTTCGTCTCGAGATCCCCAGAGACGCCCCCATATAACCATATAATAGTCAAAGTGGGGAACAATTAAGGAAGTTACTAGGAGTCTACGGGTTTCAAGGGGAAATAGATGATGGGAGTTTTTTTTTTTTTTTTTTTTTTTTATTTTAAATGATATTTACAACTGTATACAAAATATACATCTGGTAAATTCGCACATTGGTATAAAGACATGGAACACATGTTGAGAAACTACCCATTGGTAGCACTCTAATAATATGTCTATATTAGAAGATCACGTGGCCATCTTCTTTTCAGACGCCTCGGAGGGTTATCAGGAATCGAATAGGAAGCAAGGTTAGAGACAAGAGGGTTGGGATGGTTATGAAGTTTATTATGGAAGGACAGATATCTGGATTGGGCCAAATCTGATACATAAGGAACATTAAGGTCATTATGGATAATTTTATTTGTAACAAAGTAAGGAGCATTGAGGATTTTACGAAGGATTTTGGATTGCAAGGACTGTATGGTTCTTCAAATCGTACTGTCGAGTATACTAAACGTTAAACCTGAAATATTTCATTATTCGTTTTTGCTGGTTCCAAATCTATAAAGAATAATGGAAGCGGATATCTTTCCCTAGGATGTAGTACGGGTACTATGTGCCTGACGTTATGACCGATTTCTTCCAGGCCTGTTTTGATGACAGATATGGGAGTGATTGAATGTAGACCTCTCAGGACTACTCGATACGCCTTGTCCTGTTTCAATTGGTAACAATGGAAGTCGTAGTTTTTGGAAGTTAAATGGCTAATCAATTTTTTTATAGTTTTCTCTAGAGTTCGTGTTTATTTTAATGTCATTGATTCGAGAGAAGCAGCGAAAATTTGGCTGTCCGATTAGTTTTGCAATTTCTTGACCAAACGACACGAAGTTCTCAATTTTTGAAACAAAAACAGGTGGCGGTTCGGGGTCAGAAAAATCTTGAGGCTTCGGAATCTTGCTTAATAAATTGTTATCGAGAATAGTATTCTTGCTGGCTGAGCTGCTTGGTGCAGTTGGCTCTGATTGTGTGGCATTAGATTTACTCCTTGTTTTAGGTGGAGATTTTTCTTGTTCTGCTGGCTTATTTGATTTGTTTGATTTATTTTTTGTTTTTTTCTTATTTGGTGAGTTGCTTCCCGAACCGGGAGCGGAGTTTCGGACACGCTTTTGGAGCGTACGTCTTTTCAAGTATTGCGAGTCAGTCTCGCTAATTTCTGAAAAGGGTGTCTCGTTCTCCGAGTCTTCACAAGAAGTGTTCTTATCCAAATCCATGGATTTATCCATGATGGATAAATGAGTGTGAGAGAAAGAGAAAAAAAAAATGTTTTTTAATAACCTAAATATTAAAATGAAAATTATAAGATAGCTTCTTAAGAACTAAACTATTTACAAACTATATACAGATATTATATAAAATAATTCATTTCAGAATTAATTAATGAGAAAATAAAATAAAAGTCTCCTGAAAAATATTAAAAATATAAAGAGAAAAAAAAAAACCTAAATGTCTTGGATTCGAACTGTGAACAAAGCCGAAGAATGTTAGTATACACAGAGCCGAGTCTTGACAGTAACTTATTACAGATAAGGTAAACCCGTAAGGGATTACGGGCCACTTGGGCTTGCCGAATGAGCACTAATTTATTACTGCTTCATTGTTAATCAATAGTTACTAACCTGAACATATGTGACATAAAATGTACCACTGTTTATATAGTCACTGTTGATATAGTCTTACACCAGAATTTTAAATAATAACCACATTACATAGTAACAAATACAGAGTCAATCTTCAACAGCACTTGCGGCCATCTTAGACGTTTTAAAGTGGAAATGGTACGGCGGGAGGTGTTGGATATATAATTTTTCCAGGAAAGCGCTTGATCAAAGATCATTCCAAGGTTTTTGATGGAGGGATAAAATTTGATGGGATTATCATGTAGAAACAGAGTTGGAATATTAGGAACAGTTTTAAGGAGGTGATTGGAGCCTATTAAGATTGCCTTGGTCTTTTCTGCATTCAAATTCAACTTGTTAGCTCTCGCCCAGTCACAAATCCTATCCAAGTCTTCTTGAAGTTTTTCTGTGGCTGATAATAGGTCGGTGGGCGGGAAGGACAGATGTAGGGATATAGGGGTGATCTTTTTTGTGTTTTGTGGATGACATTAAAAAAGGATTAGTAACAAGAACTGCTGACTGGACGACATTTTTGGGAAAACTTGAAGGCTAATTACGATGGTGAGTAGGAGATGGGCTTAGACCAAAAGGTGGAAGAAATAACGGAGATTATTAAAGTAGTGACTGAGAGCTTCCTTCAGGGGTTAAGAAAGCAAGGGCAAACCTGGTACTATGGTGGATGTTAGAGCTTATCACTCTAAAAAGGAATTACCATAGAGTGAGAACAAGGGACCAAGGTGGAAGAGATAAAGATAGTACTTAGAGAAGATTATAGGCGTGAGTACCGAATCTATCGAAACAGATTGTGCAATCAGAAAAGCATTTAATGGGATGACTTCATTTTTGAGGAATCAGCAAAGAATCCCTGGGGTATACCCTACAGGGTAGCCCTGGTTACACTTATCTGCGGGTTGACACATCCCAGAATACTGAGGAGGACAGAATGATCAGGAGAACAACGGAGTTCCCACCAGGAACAGACCTGTGCCAGCCCTGGGACATTTGGGATGCGCAAATGGCGGTGGAAAGACAGAGGGAAAACAGACAAGGCTCACCCTATTAACCTGGACCTGGGAGGAGTAAGGGTACGAGCATATGAGGAGGTATACGTTCCTGGGTGTCAGATTCAGGAGAGGCTTTGATGCTACCCCACACATCTCGTATCTTAGAGACAGGGTGATTCACTCATTGAATAGACTGTCGATGATAGGGGTTGTTTTCTGGGGAATTAAATACCTGGCGACAAGAGTGATTTATAAAAACGTGGTCCTGGAAATTCTGAGACACGCATTCCCTGCCGGCTTATATAAGTAAAAAGAAAAAACTAGCAACCATTCTGAGACTGGCACTTATTAGGGTTACAAAAGCCTACAGAGCGGTCTCGCATTTATTATGCTCCTGGACTTGATCCTGAGGGAAGATGCCATTAAGTTCGATGTCAAGAGACACGGGTCAAGATCACTCCCAGAAGGACTACGACAGAAGACAGAAGAAAAACCAGGGAATCAGAAGATGCTGTTTGGGAAGGATTCACTCGAGGAGTGGAACAGGCGGTGGACGATAACGGAGAAGTGATCAACCCTCAGAAAATTCTTTCCCACCGTTTATTCAAGATTAGAGGTGATTTGGGCCCAACCTGACTACTGGTATTCTCAAATCCTTATGGGACACAGGGGGTTTAGAGATTAATTGAATAAGCATGGAAAGAATATTGACCCTCGGTGCCCCACATGCAGGGTTCCCGACACAGTGGGACACACCGTGCTGACATATGCAAAAGTGGACTAACATCGAGCTTGGCAGTACAGAAAAATTGGGGTGTACGATCTTAAAGAAGATCTCCCAGGACTGATTACAGAAGATAACTACCCTCACTTCGTGGAGTACGTGAGGAGGTGGAAGGATGTGGTGGGCCCTTCACACTTCAACTTGAATCCCTGTTTTTGGTTGTTCCTAAATATATATCTATTTATTTAAGTGTGCAACGAAATAAAGATAGTTGTTTTGGCAGCAGTGACGTGTACAGTTTCCATGTGCAATACCACTGCTGCTGAAAAACCCGTATGCCAGAAATGGCTAGGTAGGGTGAAAAAAAAAATGACCCTATAATTATTATTGGGGCATCCTCCCATCCAAGTACCTACCATGATTGATGCTGGTTAGTTTTTATTACCCTTTGCAAATGCCTTAGCACTCTCAGCTTATAATATGAGTAAAAAGTATAAATCAAAATTAATTGTTTAATACAATTAATTTTTCAATTAAATTAATAATAAAAATGTGTAGTTACTTTCTGTAAGATACAATTTTTTTCTCACCTCTCAGGGGGGGACCCTCTCCCCCCTCCCCTGGTGGCACCTCTTCCTTGGATATATAAATTGTGGTCATGTATAAATAAGCAAGTACTCCTCCCTAGCTAAACCCCTTTTCAATGGACTAATCAGTTAGATTTTTTGTGTTGCTGTCCATTGTGGAGAGGTTTCACTGTATTTTGTTCAACTCTGTTTTGGTATATAATTGTAATTTATGATTTTTCTGTTATGATAGTTTTTATATTCTGTAAAATAAGGAACTTTATACCTTAGAAAGTTGAACTTTGGTCCAAAAATAGAATTACTTCTTGATTTCCAGCTTCCAGAAACAACCTTCTGTTTTTAGAGAGGAAAGAGATTAGCTCTTTACAATTACAATTAGATTACAATTTCATAGAGTAGCCATTCCCAAGTCATACCATTATCTTGTTTTTGCTTAATTCATAAAATAAATTGTTCTAGTTTTGTCTGTTAACAGAAGATGTAAACATTGAATTCATATGTAATACATATTATTGTCTACATTAAGAGGACGTGTTGGCCAAGTATATTTGGGCATGGGTCCCAGAGTATCTGGTTTTGTGCGTAGTGGGTTCGCTTCCCACCTGGATTGGTCAATTTTTATTTCTTGGTGCCCCCGGGAAATAAGTCCTGGTACTTCCACTCTGGCATGTATATTATAAAGAACAATAACAAATTATAAAAATATAATTGGTAAAACCCATGCACACTACAGTACTGCTGCTGAGAACCCCGTATACCAACAATCCCCAGGTAGGGGAAAGAGAGAGAATCACTTTATTATCATAAAAGAGTGCTGCCAAATTACATTGGGTTGCTTCAAACACAGCATACTTATTAATCACTACAAGAAAAAAAAACGCTGCAAATTATTTCACAATTGTTTATTATTTCCAAACAATTATATATCTAAAGTAACATTACCTTCCTAGTGACAAAAATAAATAAATAAAAGGTGATTCCAATAATTGGACTAAACTTTTTTTTTTAATCATTAGTATTATGCTAAAAAAATTAGCATTACTTCAGTAACACATTCAAAATCCAAAACAAAGGATACAATCTTTGCAGTATAACATATAAAAAACATCTAGACACCATATCTTTGTGCCTAATTGTCCGATTTTAACATTTATTTTTAGGAAATTCCGTAAACACTTAAATAACAATATACAATATTGACAAAAAAGTATTCTTTTTAAGTTATTCTGAATCTAATTTTACCATCTCTTGTAACTTTTTTTCCAGCTTCTTTTTGTTGAAGTATGTTATATAGATAAATTTAAAGGGCTTCGAGTAGAAGACTTCAGAGAAGTTTTATTGAAATTGGTTGGTACATTTGTTTAGGCACTACAGTCTATAGCAATGTAGGTGTTTCGTAACCGAAATTACAGAACCTTTCCATCTTGAAAGGAAAAGGTTGATAAAAATGTTGGTGAAGGAGGATCATCCTTAGATGACTTCTAATTTGAAATCCAAATTTGAAAAAAATTGGTCCAGTAGTTTTGGAGAAAAAACGCAGATGGCGGATGGACAGAAAAATTTTTATTCTTTTTTCGAATTCTACTTATCCTGAAACGTAATACCTCAAATTTTGAGAGGGGGTTAAGTTTTTAAATTTTTTGCTCAGTCATAATGGTTCATTATTGAAAATAATAAACCAAAAAGGTACTCCCACTCTGGTAGATATTCAACGGCAAACATGAGGTAGCTGTCAGAGGTTGACAAAAAAGACCATGAGGCCCACTTGCCAGACTAGTTTCCCTCACTAGTACCAGTACCAGTATTCTAGATTAAAGAAAATGTTATTTAAATATACTATAGGGCTATAAAATGTCTACTTCAATGTTCTAAAAATATTAAACTTTATAATTTTGTTGTAGAGAATTGTAAGTGAAGGTGAACTGATATCTCAATCATGTTCACAGTCTCCATCACGTTCTACTTCTCCTCATAACACAGAACTTGCAGCCCAGCATCCTCAGTTTGATTATATGTATGAATTTTCTGAAACACGAAAAGTTCTTGAAGAATTTTTTAAATCTGGTGATAAAACATCACATTTTCAGGTAATTGAAACACAATCACTCATTATCAATGTAGTTAGTGTTTTTCAAAGTTTTGATCACTTTAATATATTGTTATTATTAGTTATGGCATTTAATATATTGTTTTCATTAATAATCTCACTTCTCAGATTTTTCTGATTAAGTAATCTTAATTCACTTTGTCTGACTATTGTGTTGATAGAGAACAAATAATACAACCTTTAAATTAAAAAGGTTACTAAACCCACCTTGATCAAATATTTTCATATTTATACTCACTCAGAACACCTAAAGTTGACGTACTATATCTGCAGAAGCACCATATTCTTTTTTCTGTTTATAATATTGTTGGAAACAATTGTTCTACCAACAAGGGAAGGTCACAGTCATTGGGTCACCAATTTCAACCCAAAATGTTTTGGTAATTCTACCTCGAAAAATATTAGACATATGTTCTGGCGTTCTTTTCACTGGCCTCTAGGAGCCGAGAGAAAAAATGTTTTATATAAGTTAAAACAAAATTTATTTTATTAATGTTTGCCTTTGCTTGTTTTTTTTTTAGGTTTATGATATGTCATTCAATTTCTTTTTTTTTTTGCAAAACAGGTGAAACATATTGACTATGGTATGAAATGAGCTATAGTGGATCATAAATTACACAAACCGAAAGTAAAAACCTGGCCAAGTAATTTTTGTTACGAAAAAGCAACTTAGTGCAACCGTTAGAAAGCTGAACTGCTCTTCTAACCCACATTAATATCTTAAATGTTTCATTCTTCTTTTGCTAGAAATTTAGGAAAACTTAATCATTTCTATTTTGTGTTTTTTGGTTCTAATTTGTTTATGGAGTTCGAGTTTGTGTTATTTCGTTTACATATAGAGCTCTAAATTCCTAATAAATTTTTGTGAATCAATGTAGTTCACTTGTGATTATCACAATTTGTGTGGTTTTATTTGATATTTAGAAGCCTAAACGAAAATTTCCTTCCAAAAAATTAAATTTTTCGATTGCTACAAATTCGTATTAAAGTATTTTCTGGTTTGAGAAAAAGAAATATAAACTTTTTTTTCTTCCTAAAAAAGCATTTAGACACTAAGGAGATTTAGATAAAATGTCATATTTGGCAGGTAGCTACAGTAAGGAAACCCATTTGTACCAACCGACATAGAAGTGTGAGGGTAAATATGTTTTTAGAGAAAACAAAAGATCTCATTACTGCCATAAAATCTGTATATGCAAATTTAAAACCAGTACTAAGGATGAATGGAACAGAGTCTGCTGCTTTTCTGATTGATAGAGGTTTCAAGCAGGGAGACAGTCTGAGTCCATTCTTTTTTGCTGTATTTATGGATGAAATCCATAAAATTTGTAAAAGGAGTACAGCCTGAATAGTCATCGATAAGTGGAACATGAGGAAAATACTCAGCCAGTCTCTCTTGTATGCAGATGATATCGTCCTCATTTGTGATTCAAAACAGATACTACAGCAAGCTCTTCTGGAGTGGTAGGAGAAACTTAAACGAAAAGCTATGCTCATCAATGCTTCTTAGAGTAAGGTGCTGGTCCTTTCCTGAGATGAGGAGGAGGCAGTGGAAGTGGAGTGTAATAGTGAGATTCTTGAAGTGGTTTATAACTTTTAACTACTTAGAAACCAACATGAATAGACAGGGCAAAATAGATTAATAAATAGCAAACAGAATTGCTAAAGGCAACCAAACCTATTATAGTATTTTTCATAGCATTGTTGGTCATCAAGATATGGATCACATCACTTCCGGTATGTTATAAAATATTCACTTTAATCTTAACTAGTCGAATATACGAGAAAATTATCGGCGACTACCAATGCGGATTCAGACGGAACCATTCGACTATTGATCAAATATTTTCCTTACGGCAAATATTGGAGAAAAAATTAGAGTACAACAGTGTGGTTCACCAGCTGTATATTGATTTCAAAAAGGCTTACGATGTTATTGATCGTCAGTAACTATATAATATTCTAATTGAGCAGGGGATCCCCAAAAAATTAGTGAATCTAATCAGGATGTGCTTGACAGAAACACTCAATAAAGTTAGAATCGGTAATAATTTATTTGAAAAGTTTGAGGTTCATTCGGGTTTGAAACAGGGTGATTACCCTTCGCCTGTCCTGTTCAATTTGGCATTAGAACATGCCATTAGGGAGTTAATGTGTACCGAGAAAGGGTTGGATCTGGGTGAGATAACACCCATGCTTGGCTATGCAGATGATCTGGTCCTGTGTTAAGCAAAGACATAGAAACTACAAAAATAAATACGACAACGTTAATGAAAGATGGTAAAGAACTAGGGCTTGAAATAAATACGGATAAGAGAAAATATATGGTTAGCTGCAAAAATGGTGATATTACTGGTGATATCGATATGTTAATATATTTGAACAGGTAGAGAAGTTTAGGTATCTAGGGTCTACGATAACTAGAAAAAATGAAATTAGAGAGTATATTAAGGTTAGGCTGAAGGCAGGAAATGCTTGTTATTTTTCTCTGACAAAACTACTTAACTCACGCATGTTGTATGACGCATGCAGTTTGAAATGACACCATTTTTTTGGTTGTCAAAAAGGTAAGATTTCAATGTAGTAGGTTTCTCATCTCACCCAACGTCGTTCCGCCTCAATGCCTCAGCCCCAAGTGTCCTCTCCTCTCTCCAGCGTCCTTCTCCAGCTGTTGCTACCTGCCCCGTCCTATTCCAACCTTCTTTCTTCATCGATTGTTTATCGATTTGAGACTTTTCAATGAATAATTTGTCTACTGCACAATTGAGTACAATTCATTGTGCAACCTCACATTTCTATATATTTCTTCTCATTTCCTCATACAATGTCACATAAAGGGGTAAATACTGAGGGCTATCTACTACACTTTATAGATCAGCCTTACGATCATACTATAGATCGTCAATGAATTGTCAAGGGTTAGTCATAAACATAAATTTGAGCCAAGACTGATATATCGGCATTACAATGTTATTTTATCGAGATTGGTAGGCTTAGACAATTTTTTAAATTATTGTAATTTTATTTTTTTATTTCCCTGCTTTCCTTAATTTGAGAAAATACCGGTATATCGGCCTCACCTTCTTATTTTATTAAGATTTAAACTTGGAATATTATTTACATTGCTAATGAATGTGTCAATCAGTTACCAAGGAATCGATATAAACATAAATTTGAGCAGATACCGATATTCTAAAGAAGGATCTATCGGTTTGATGACAGCAGATAGCAATATTTCAAACTTTAATTATTATGATTTGCAGAGCTCATCATACAATCTTCAAGAGATCGACATTGTAACATCTCTCTTATATTTTACAAATAATAATAATAATGTAAGCTCGGAAGCTCACTTCTTACCGTTAGGATACTTCTAAAAGAAATAAGAGGTTGTTATAATAATATGAAAAATTATAAGAGTATTAATATATTTATTTATCCCAGGTGTGGGTTACTGACAATCAGATCAAAACACTCAGACAAACTAACATTAACTATATTAAACACTGTTTGATTTTAGAATAATGTCAAATATGGAGTGGCAAGCTAACCTTTTTGCTAAAGATACTGTTTCTTCCTTTGTCACAGTCAATTATTTCCTGAATTCGTTTGTCTTCTGCCAAAACACAACTTCCAAAATGGTGACACTGTTGCTGGGTTTTACCCACTGGAGCCAGGATCCCTTCACCTGCCCTCTCATCACTGCAACCAAACATCAACTGTTTGCCAAAACAAAAGCTTTTGTCCTTCCCCTCTTTGGGATTTTCCTTTTTGGGGAATCTACAGATATTCCCTTTAGTATTCCCTTTATACTATATCAGCTTGCTTTTTAACTGTTACATTAACTTATTTAATCATTTTTAACAACTTTCAATTAAGGTGTATATTACAACATAAACATAAAATTGAGCAAAGGTATAATGACCTTACAATCTTCTTTTATCGAGATCAGTAGACCATTTTTTTAGAATGATTTTCTTACCTGCTTTTCCTGATTCGAGCAGATACAAATATTTCAAACACTTATATATCGGCCTCATGACCATATTTTATCAGGATTGGTAGAGCTAGACTTTTTTTTTTTTTTGGTGTTCCTCTTCTTCCAATTTTTTATTTATTTTTTGTCTTCACCTAGGACCGATATTTTATCGAGAGCGGTAGACAATATTCAATTTTTTTATTAATTTTTTTGTCCTCTTCTACCCCTAATTAAAGCAAATACCGTTATTTCAAACACCAATATATTGGCCTTACAACCTTATTTATCAAAATTGATAGAGTTTAACCACTTTATTTTTTGTTCTCTTCTTACAACTTTTTTTTTGTTCTTATTACCATTGGGCTGATATATCGGCCTTACAATTTTAATTTATCGAGATTCATAAAGTTAAGATTATTTGAAATATTATTTTTATTGTAATTAAATGCGTCAAGCAATTAAAGGGATAGACATAAATATAAAATTGAGTAAAGACTGATCTATCGTCCTTACTACCTTATTTTATCAAGATTAGTAGAGTTAGATTTTTTTTTTTTTTTTTGTGGACATCTTCCCAACATTCTCGTCATCTCCTTGAACCGAACCGTTATTGGCTTCTTTCACTTTGAATTTTATTTTTATTGCTAATAAATGTGTCAATCATTCATCAAGGTATCAAAATAAACATACTTTTGAGCAAAGACCGATATATTGGCCTCAGGACCTTATTTTATTGAGATTGATAGAGTTTGAAATTTTTTTTTCTAGCCCTTGCTTTTCCCTGATTTGGGCAGATACCAATATTCCGAAGACCAATATATCATCCTCACAACCTTGTTTTATCGAGATACAAAGAGTTTGATTTAAAATATTATTTTTATTACTAATAAAAATAAAAATGTTCGTAAGGCCGAGTATATCGGTAAAGGTCATAGAGCTGGAATTTTGGTATCTACTCAAATTAGAGAAAGCGGAGGGCCAACAAAGAATTAATGATAAATAAGTATTCAAACTCTACCAATCCTGTTAAAATAAGGTCTTAATGCAGATAAATAGAATTTATATGGCCAAACCTTGGTATGAAATAAAACACCTTTTTTGCCACAGGCTCCGGGACTATAATATTTTTGATGTAGTATCTAAAAAAAAACTTGTTGAAATCGTTGACCCACTTATTAACTCCCCTTGTTGGTGAAATATATTAATAAATTGAAAGTACATTTTTTCTTATTCATCGATCCATTTGAATATAACTATAAAATTCTTATTTTATTGTCACAAGATATTTACTATATTCCACTGTTCCTTTATTCTTTAGAATTTAACTGTAAGTGGTGTCTAAATTCTCAATGTTTACAAAAAGAATTTTATAAAAATATCTTGATTATATTATTCCTTCCCAACTTGATTTTTTTTTTTTAGAAATTTGGTTATTCTGCAACCACTTAGAGCTTTGGTGTACTCATATAAAGTTCTTCTCATCAATAAAATAATAGGTTATCAATTTGAAAATGGAACAGGTTTGAAATAACCTTCATCTATGAACGATAGTAGAAGTTGACTTAGACCATTAAACAGAAGATGGGAAGTCAATATCTAGGGCGTATAACCATCCTCCAGTCCACATATCTCATGTTATGCATTGGGACCCCTATATCACTAAAATAAAAAGGTTGGGAAAGCAAGCTGGTTCCTTTTTATGTTGACTTTTCATGGCTTTACTTAAAATCTATTTAATTATTATTTTGTCTATTTAATTGTTTTAATGTTGCAAATTGAATAAGTTTTTATAATCTAACCTTCCAAATATTTTGATTTATTTATAAAATCTGGCTATCTAGCCTGATGTGTTTGTCCTTAATATAGTAGTTGACTAATAGTGGATGCCTCCTCATAAATCTTGTATAATAGAATAAAAAGTTGAAGAACTTATTAAAATTGAGTTGCTGTCCATCTTTTCACACTTTTCAATCTTGTAAGCTTAAATCATCATAAGTTTTTATAAATAGCTCATTTTCATTGCGGCCAAAATTGCTGCCTAGAATTCGGAACTGCTTTTCAAAATTTATCCATAAAAGAAATTCATAGGAGCATGTTGGGCTGTATTTCATATTTCAGAGGTAATTTGTTAATATCATAGATTTTTATTGAAAATATTTTATTTTTTTTCATCCCAATATTTTCAAATTATTATTTATATTATGGTTTTCATGACTGTTGACATATATGTTTGATACTATTATATTGTAGGATCTAGAATATGAATTAAGAAGGCGTGGTAGTTCTGGAAACGCTTATGTTGGCCTCAGATTAGCAAAAGCTACTGAGGATGAGCAAGCTTTTTCTTCTCCTCCTAAGCCGGTTGAAACCAAAGATCTTCTCAACTTGCAGGTTAGTATCAACTTTGTGGTTTTTAGTTCATTTAACATGTTGGGATGTTTTTCATTTGGTTTTTCTTGTTCATCTTCACATTAATCTGTGAGGAATTTATCTTTTAATGCATTATATTCTGTTTGATACTCATCATTTCTTACTTAGTCATTGATTTGGATTTTTATTCTTTACTATTTATAATCCTTTAGTATGTAGTTGTGTAAAAGAATCATTTGTCTTTATCCCAACTTTCGTCAGGAGCTCAGGTCATATATAGGTTTAGGTTGCAGGGCTGAGTTGTCTCATCTACTTCTCGCAGTTCATGAGGCCTTTTTCTTCTTTATTTTAATCATAATTATTTATTTGGTACACATTCCTCTAGAATAACATTTTGAGTAATAATTGATAGACTTCAAGAACATCTAAAGAATTAACAAATGATAATCAATATTTAAAAAATGGAAATATAATGTATCATAATGAAGTAACTTTTACATCTATGAACTTTTTGTCTTTCTCCTTGGTCTCTATGCTACTGCTGCCTTAAACCTGGGGTGTTTATCAATTTCCCAGTCTAGATCCTTCATTTTCCATTGATAGCAGGGTGTTTGTAAGTAGTATTTAATTTTTCATAGTTCTTAGGCGGTCCTTAGTGTATAGCTTCTATAAGATAAGATATCCCCATTATGGTTCTTAGGTATCAATGGGAGATCGACTGATACAGATATTAATATATTCATTTCAGCCTGTAGACCGATTATCAATATCAACCGATATGCCGAAATATTGGCCTTTTTTTTCACCATTACCAAATTTTTCCTCATCCTATTGAACCAATATATCGTCCTTACGACCTTATTTTATTGAGATTGAGTAGAACTTGACAAATTTTTATTTAATTTTTTTTTCTGGCCCTTCTCTTTCCCTAATTGAGCAGATGCCGATATTCTAAAGACTAATATATCGGCCTCACAAACTTATTTTATAAGATTAGTAGAGTTTGATTTCTTCTTTGTTATTAACTTTTTTTTTGCGCACCACTGCCAAATTTTTCTGTCATCCATGTCGGCCTTAAGACTTTATTATTTTATTGAGATTCTAAAAATTATTATTATTTAATGAAAATGAAATTAAATTTAGAATTATTAAAATGTGAATAATACAAGGGAGGAAAAAAGGAGTTTAGTGGAACTAGTCTTGAACCGGGAACTCTCACCATCTGAGAATAGTACGCTGGCCACTGCACTATGAGAGCACTTATGGAAACCTTCATGAACTCTTGTACAAGTTGAAGTTCACCTCAATGTGTGGTGTTTTAAATTTAAAAAATCATGTTTTGTCTATTACCTGTTAAACTGAACACCCAGAGGTTCAGAAAATGTCTTTTAAAGGGGTGCCACTCACCTTAGAAATGTTCTTAATTAAAATAAAACAGATCACCTCCAGCCGGCTAGTCATATTATGTCATTAACGTCACTGTGGTGCAGTTGACGGGAATCCTCTTGGAGGATAACAATGTCCCACATGTGAAAAGTTGCCGTTACAACCTGGGGAGATGAAACCTTGGGTTTTCCAGGAGGAATGGTGACGGGATGATGGAACCTCATGGATTTTGTTTTACATGCAGCGCCATACTGTCTTCTTTTACCTTTGTTCATGTCATGTGACACGACGTGAGGCGTTCTGTGCCGGAAGTAGCCGAAAACATCGCTGGGACATATTGGAATACACAAAATATATAGGGCTTGTACGTTAATGTCTTAGTAAAAATAAATAAACTATTTATATTGTTAGAAAATAAAATAACTCGCCATATAACGATATGGGCACAAAAAAAATTTTATTCATGCTGGCTGCAACAATTTTATTAAGATTGGTGGAATTTGGCCAATTTATTTTCTGGCCCTTCTCTTCCCCTAATTGGGCAGATGCCGATATTCTAAAGACTAATATATCAGCCTCACTACCTTATTTTATCAAGATTAGTAGAGTTTGATTTATTCTTTGTCAATATTCACAGTCTTATTCAATATGAATATTATTTTTATTGCTAATAAATGTGTCTAATCATCAATGGGTCTGCATTAGCATACATTTCAGCCAAGACCGATATATATATTGGCCTTATTTTATTGCGATTGGTAGAATTAGACCAATTTTTATTTATTTATTTTCTGCCACCCCCTTCTCCTAATTTGGGCAGATCGATATTCTGAAGACTAATGTATCTCACCCATGGTCTTATTTTATAAGATTAGTAGAGTTTGATTTCATCTTTTTTTTGTACACCCCCACTAAATTTTTCTGTCATCCTATTGAATCGATATATAATGAAATGAAAAATAATTTTATTCTGGGACTGAAGTCCTATTAGAATAATATTAGAGTTCAAAAAGTATGTACATTAGTCTGGCATGTCGGTATCATACAAATATATACAAAAATACTTGGGAAATTGTAAATTTATATATATATATATATATATATATATATATATATATATATATATATATATATATATAAAGATACTAAGGAAAATAAAAATATATAAAAAAAATTCAAAGAAAAGTATAAATATTTACAAAAAATAATAAGGAAAAACACAGATGTGTACAATACATACTAGTGGGAGGGAGTGTTTTGTTATATTTGTTTTGTATGAGGTGGTTAAAAAAAGACAGTTTAAGCTGTTTTAGGAGAGGGTAGTTGGAAGAAGGAATTGAAAAAAATTGCTATTTATACATAACAAGATTTTCTTTATAGTAAAGTGTAGATTTTATTTATCAACTAATAGGTTACTAAATAGATGTTCAGTGGTGCCCTGAGGGGAGGAGTGGTGTCTTCAGATTTATTTTGGATGGGTGAAAAATAACTTTTTGGGTTGAGCAGATGGTAGTTCTGTTTTAAGAAAAAATTGACATGATAATGTAAAATTTTAGATAAGTAATTTTGCAGTTTTAGAGGGGGTGGGGTAGCTCAGTGAGTAAGGCACTGTGCCCCTATGCGGCTTGTTTAGGCAACATTAGACATTATTTTGGCAGTGGACTATATTTTGATTGAAAGTGGTAGGTTATATGAATTATGCAAATAAATACTTACCCTTTTATGGTGGCATATAAAAGTTACTTGGTCTTTGAAGGTAGAAGGGCGCCCTTCTCTGGTCTGTCTTCTGTCTGCTCTGCGTGGCTGGCCTGAAGTGGCTTAGAGAGACTTGTAGCTAAAGCGGATTATCTCTTATCTTTTAGATCCTTATGAGATCTGTTTTCACGACTCACCACAACATGTTGCTCGGGAACACTATCATTTAAACAAACCACTGCTGATTCTGGATTCGAGTCTAGCTGTGGAAGGTGATTATCTTTAGTGTTACATGACCCTTCTGTGGCATAGCCAGTCTCTATATAGTAGGTACTCTTTATTAAATAATTAATTGGGAAAAACCTGGCAGTTGTGTTTGATCATGGTCAAATCACCTCCTTGTTTAATTATTGACCAAGAAACAGTACTTCCTTTCAAAGTACTGAACTCATGACTTTGCATGAGTTGAAGTAGTGCGGTATAGGTTTTTTTTCTATCTATTGTGTGATGAAAAATCAGTGGAAGCAAATGTGTGCAAGAAGGAATTCAAATTAAATAGAAATATTGGTAAGTTTATAGAGGAATGAACACTTGACAAAGTGGGAAGGAAATGAGTACCCTTGATGTATTAAATCTTTGAATGTGCAAATACTGCTTAATGTAAATGTATAAAGCTCTGCTGAACCTCTAATATACATTGCAATCTGAATGAAACCTATAGTTTGCGCAAAGTATTGGAGAGGATTAGTTAGTATATATTGTGGCAGCCTATTCCTCCCTGCCCGAACCTACAAGGGACTATTAGTTCACCTTATTGCTCACTCAATGCACCTGAAATATATATTTTTATTTTGTATTATTGTAATGTAAAATACTCAAGTTCTAAATTGTAAATATGTATATACATTTTGAATACTTTTTAATAATAAATTTTAATGGCAATAAGGTAAACTGATCAAAGCTTTTAAATAACAGTACAGTTACGGCTCTTGCTAGCCGAGTTATTCATACTGGTATGAAGACCGCACTCCTCGGGTCTGCATCCTTCAGGATGTCAGACCTTCCCAGCAGTTTGATCAGTATATTCTATATACGCTTTTTGGCTCAACATCAAACTACCTTTTATTTCATTATGCTCCTTTAACCTTTTCTCTCTCCATACTAGGTCTGGATGCTCATTCTTCCGCTTGTACTCCTATATACTAAGTCTAGAGGCTCATCCCTCCATTAGTATCTCATCCTCCCACAAATTCTGGAGAATCATCCCTCCGTTTGTGGTTTCCGTCCTGCGGTGACCGCAGACAAAGTGTGATTTGGTTGCTCATCCTCCTGAAACTTGAGGTCATCCTGTCTTAGACTCTTCCTTCATCCACTAAGTCACTTATACCTTAATTTTAACAAGCTTAGTAGAGGCCTGACCACTAGACTAACTACACTTACCTCAACAATATTATGGTAGCATAGATCCCATTTTCCGCTCTCAATGGAATGATGGATTCCGATGAAAGAATTTGTCAAAGGAAAAGAAATTTCATGGATATTTTAATTTTTAAATTCCTATTACAATTTTAATAATATGCATTGAAAAAATTGGGAGATTTATTAACTCCGACGTTTGTAAGTTGATGGATGGAGATGGGACTGGTTCTGTTTTAAATATTTTGACACAAACATCTAGACCTGCTAAAGTTTTTACAGAAAACACTGGAGCCATGTGTTCCAAAGCCCTGAGAAATGTACTGTTTTCAAGATGAAACATAATTCTTGCTATAATCCGTTAGGTGCCATGGGATACTTATCAAATGTCATTTATGTTTTTATAAATTAAAATATTGTTATTTATTGTAGTCTATGCTAATTAAACATTATTTGGAAACATAAACAAAGGATAAGAAACCTGAAATCCCTTGGGCAATTCGATAATATATAAAGAAATCTTG